CAGTAAAATGGCACACAAAGCTTAATCTCTGGGCAAACAAGCTGTGAAATGCTAATAAAAAAGAAACAAGACCTTGGAAAGTGAGAAGGAGAAAGGACAGTCAACCCTGAACCCAACCCAACGCTAAGCCAGCTTCTACAGTCCAGGCCAAAAAAACAGAGCAGGTCTTAGAGCTGCAGCCCAGAGAGAGTCCAGCACTAATGGAAAATGATGAAGCGTCTGAGGATGGGGGGGGGGGGGGGGGCGCGGGATGGGTTACTGGGTTTGATTAAACTGGCAGCTATGTAGAGTTTCTGTACCGGGCTCCTGGGGGAGCAGTTCTGTTACTGGCTCGGTTACTGGCACAGATGAGGACTGACTGACACGTCTAAGGCTAGTTCAGAGTGAGCAGAAGGGACAGAAAAGCAAAGAACCAAGAGCCAAAGGAAAGTCAAAGAGACAGAAATCAAAGAAAAGGAGAGGGGAGGGGAGAGAGAGAGAGAGAGAGGAGGGAGAGGGAGGCGAGACCTCACCTGCTCAACACCAGGGCACAAGGGGTGGGAGAGAGAAGGAAGAGTGAGGGAGGGAGAGAGAGAGAAGGAAGAGTGAGGGAGAGAGAGAGAAGGAAGAGTGAGGGAGAGAGAGAGAAGGAAGACTGAGGGAGAGAGAGAGAGAAGGAAGAGTGAGGGAGAGAGAGAGAAGGAAGAGTGAGGGAGAGAGACCCCACCTACCACACCCGACATACATTTCAGGCTTCCATCTTCTGGGCAAACGTACACAGATAAAAAGGGTTCAAATGGAATTTCGCAAGCTGGTAATTTGACTTTCCCTCTAAATCACTTTACACTTTCAAATTAGCTCTCCATTACTGACACAGTATCTGCCTACAGAGGCCAGATCGATAACAATGTTTTAAAACTGTGTCCACAAGTTGGGGGGAAAAAACCTGTTAAAAATTCACACAGATCATGGCGCCTCCACACGAAACGCTCTGACACTGTCAGCTCCACAGGGGAAACAAGCTGCCTTTTCACAGCAGAATTTTGTTTCCAAATAAGATGAAAGTTTATCGCCGGGAGAGATTAATCCCGGCGTCGGCGCCATGAAGGAAGATCAGATGTGCCTCACAAACGAGCCCGTGTGCGGCAGCCCCCGGGGGGGACGGCGTGCTTTTCTGGGAAACGGGGTTGTTTACAAAGAGCCTGACACCCACATGACATCCGAAAACAGGCAGGAAGCAGCTCCGAGCCGAGCCTTGGGGGAACAGGAAAGGAATTAAAATGTAAATGGGGAGTGTAATCTCACTCTTCAGGGGTCAGTGGCTGGGATCCCAGGTACGGCAATTCGGTGAAAGCTCACGCCTTGACGTCAGCAACGGCAGATATAAAAAGGACTCGCAGCCCCCAAGCCGACGGCTGGGAGCAGGAAGCAGGTGACTCTTAGTTTAAGGATGTTTAGAAGGTCGATAGGAAGAACAGAGCACATGGGGGATGGGGTGGTGGGTGGGGGCGGGTGGGGAGTCACAGACAGTGCAGGTCTGCTGGCCTCGGACGAGGTGGGAGGGCTGTTCCAGAACTTTAAATGGAAGAGAAGGTCCATCACAGGCAGCCTGCCGAAAATAAGGCAGTGGAGGTCCTGCCAGGGGCTGTTTCTAACCCCCATTTCGTACACAGACAAGACCCTTCAGCAACAGAACGTAAAGCCAGCCTCAACACTGATGTAGGACCAGCCAGAAACAAAAAGACTAAGGATAAAGCAGGTCAAGGCAGAGGAGGAGTCCATCAGAGAACACCTAGAAATGCAGGAGAGGCTGAAGGGGTCCCAGGACAGAGCCATGTGGATCCCCGCCATCAGCCGCAGCAATTTCAGAGCCCAGGTCAGTCATACTACCACCACAGGGATTTTGAAAGACTACAGAACATCAGCAGCTTCCCCTCTGAAGATCGGCACAGCATTGATGGGCACTAGGTCTGACATCTGGCCACTACTCCATGTGAAAAAAGCAGCAGGATCTAGGAAAACTGTTGACGCAATGCAGTGGTACCCGGGGAAGGCAGCTGAAGCTCATCGTGACCCACCTTCCATGGATGGACAATGTCAGATGACCAGGACACGCTGAGAAAGGTCGCCGCGAGACCTTGTTCCGGCGCTGCGGACACTCCAAACTCCTGCCACATTTTAATCAGGCCAATCTGGCCCCTGGGCTTCCGGAGGCCTGCCCGCTTCCCTCAATCACGCTGCCCCATCTCAAGCCCATTTGCTGCCTGTCTTGTTTCAGGCCATATTTTAATTGGCTATTTCCCCAATCCATCAACCTCATTTCAGGCCAAACTTTAATTGCCTATTTTCCTCATGTGAGTGTGAGTGTGTGTGTACGCGTGTGTGTGTGTGACTCACCATCTCTCCCAGGCAGACCCCTCTCCTTCTTGTCGTCACACTTGTTACACTCGCTGAAGTACAGCAGGATGAACATGTCCAGCATGACCCACACCAGTGAAGTGGCCAGCACCACTTTGCAGTAGGCAAACTTCCTCATGTCACCCTTGGCCGGCGAGCTGGGGGAGACAGGGGGGGGATTAGAGATACATCAGAGCCCCGTTGTGGCCCCAAGCAATTCCAGAATTCTCTTGGCTGTCCCTCAGAATCACCCGAAGTCAGGGAAGGTGCCCAGACGCAGAGCAGCCCTCTAAACATGTAATTACTGCAGAGTGGAGCTTGAAACCACAATTACACAAGAAAGCTCCTTTTACGGGGGGCAGCTGGGCCTTTCGGGGGCCAAACCGTGGAAGTAGACATGAGCCACGTGAGGCTCAGGGGCAGATACCGAGCAGGCCTGAAGGGCAGGGCCACCAGGCGTGACCAGCCAGTCACTGGGGGCAGCACAGCACATGCCGGGGACACGGGAACAGGCCTTAACCCTAAGCTACACCGCTCACCTACAGTGACATTCAGGAAGGGGTCACCTCTGCCCAGCGGCGAGGTCCCCCTTCAAATCTGCCCCTTTGATTCATTAAATCCATGTGTTCATTGTAGTGAGGAAAAGCCTGTGAATAAAAGGAGCGAGCAGAGTACTGCTGTTTCCCCAGGGAGGAGAACAGACATCGAAAACAAAAACAGATAAACAGGAGAAGAGCTGATTCACGTCTCACACAGCGAACAGGATAATCTCTGGCAATTTGACTCCTAAAACAATATGGATCCAGCAGCACTAATGATTGGCCCCCTAATTAAAATGAGAGCGGGGGGGTCATGGAGACACGTCTGAGCAACATCGGACAGGTCAGTGCTGATGATCAGAGCTCAGGGTCCCACTCCTCATCGCCCCCCCTCAGTGGGACCTCTCAGTGGGTGGCTGGCCTACCGATCGACCTGCCATGGAACATGCAGAGATCTTCTGACACGTTGGGGAACAAAGAAACAACATGGCGTGTGTCAATCTCCACGTTCCTGCTTCCTTGAATTAGAAGTAGTAGTATATTCACGAGGATGGATTGATGTTCTGGATCCTTCCAGGGCTGGATTGGGAAATGATTTTGGCTCAACAATATTTATTGTTGTCGCGTCCCACATCACATCACTGCGCCATATGGTTCCGTTTGAGAGGAAGCGGGCAGGTATGAAGCACGCTCAGCAGTGCCTGACGGGAACACGCGTGTGTGTGATCAGTCAGACTGAGGGATGAAGCGTGATCCCTGCTCCCGGATGAGAAATGTCTGCACTGGATCCATGTGGCTCGACTCTGCGGAATGGCTAAAAGGCGTCCTTCCGGAAAACACTCCAGGAAATATAAGATCTGCTTCCAATTTTCACACCCACGAGTGTTACAGCATTTAAAAAAATGTTTAGTCTTGATGTCCTGTGAGTCAGCTGACAAATGGAGGAGAGGGGTGCAGAAAAGAGGATTCCACGTCTGGTACGTGAAGATGGTCGTCATCCATCTTCCAGCACGCGGTGATTAGTCTGTTCGGGATGGAGCGATGGCGGCCCGCCAAAGCTGACTTTCCGCCGCACTTCGCCTGAAGGCGAGGAAATGTCCCTGGTGTCTGGAATTGCGGGAGAAGGTAGGGCAAAGTGTCAGCCAGATGGGGCGTGGCACCAGCCGACCAATCGGGTGTGGTAAGAAGCCAGGGGGCGGGGCATGGTGCAGATTAGGATTCATGCATCGTCAGCCTGGCTTGGGTCTGCTTGTCTTGGTTACTGCAGGGCTTCCAAGGTGGGGATCCATACACTTATTCCTGGAGCAAACTTTCATCCATCCCGTTATGTGAATAAGGAGCTGCTGTGTCCTGTTCTTCACAAACGAAGCTGGAATGGCCAGATTCCCCGGAGAGGCATGGAAATCTCAAAGAGCCTGACGGCCAGCCCTCTCCCGCCTGACCTCCCGGTGCCACACAGCCCCCATAGCTCAGAGATTAGGCCACCCAGCCCAAACTGTGTACCCTGCCAAGTCATTTCAATCTCCTCAACCTCACTGCAGTGCCCAAAACCGCACTGGTGTTTTAAATGACGGGTCACGCAGCATATAGTGAAATCCACAAGCTGGGGAACCAAACTAACAAGGCATTAAAGACACAACCAGCCCAACCTCACATCATCATTCAGAGCAACGAAATCAGCAGGCAAACGGATCACATGCTCAGCCAGAAGCAGCGACGTGACAGTGTGCTCAGAAGCTCGGATAGTACAGGGGCAGGGGGCTGGTTCTGGTCTAGCGATCTTCTGTGGTGTCTACAGAACCTAACACTGACAGAAACAGTGAGAGATGACGTCAGCCCACCATGAGCTCCACACATTTCACAGAACAGATGCCCAGTAAGAAAAACATAAAAAATTCATCTGCTGTCTCAGTGGAATGGAACAAAACCAGCATCTCTTAATTCGGCTTTTCACTGGTCTTCGTCCAGGCCGTCATGCTGTGTTGTTCGGCATGAAATAAATGTTTATTTATTTTCTGGAGCTTGGTGATGATTTAGCCACAGGTAATGTGGTAACAATAAACAGGTATCAACAAATGCTATGGGGTACAAAGCATTGCGGGTAGGAGGGGCGTACAGTGTCAGTGCGTAAAGAGCTATGGGCTGGCTTAGTGTACAGTGTCAGTGCGTAAACAGCTATGGGCTGGCTTGGTGTACAGTGTCAGTGCATAAACAGCTATGGGCTGGCTTAGTGTACAGTGTCAGTGCATAAACAGCTATGGGCTGGCTTAGTGTACAGTGTCAGTGCA